GCATAACATGATAATCCTAAGATTTTACCCAATGTGTATTTATTTGATACCACACAGAAGATTCAGACTCTCATTAAATAGCTTATGAATATAAAAAAATAAACAAAATTCTCTGCCAAAATTGTTTAATGTTTTTTAGGAGTGGAAATAATTTCCTACAAGTCTTAATCAAAATTTTGGAAAAAAAATGATGCGATGGCGATGGTGACACTCATAAATTTAAAACCTGAAATTTAACAAAATATTTCCATGATTTCCTTTTAGAATAAGGAAGTTTGTTCAACAAATTGTTTCTGATATACTTTCCTGAGATATGTTTACATTTTTACATAAACCTTATTTCCTTGTCTACAATGGCAACTATTTCAGTACATTACATTCTGAAATTCATCCACCAAATGCATCACATATACTGGACGCAGACTGAAACAGTTATACTCACAATATCAAAGTGGACACCACAAGCATCCATGGTAGTCAGCAATTCTTGTGCATGGTCCTGGAGATAAAAGGTTAAAAAAACTTTTAATCAATAAATGGATTATCAACTGTCAATGAATAGAATTATGAAATAGGTTTGTATTGATAATTCCTAACTGTTGTTTTTGGGTTTACGTAGTACATAATTTTCTGAGCAAGTTACTAGTAATACATTATTTAAATCATATCTTCATGTTTCCTGTATGCCTTATTTCCACGAATTATTCTGAAGTCATGTTCCCCAGATTCTCAGTAAAATTGGGCAATTTTTTATTCAATTTGTATTCAAGGTGTTTTTTTGAAATGAAAACACATTTCTCATTGCTAGACTAGCTTAGGGGGAACCCTGGATGTACAAATTAAATGTAACACTGATACCACATATATTAGCTCAATTACTATGACAACGTACCTTGAAATCCATCAGGTCAACAAACGTGAAGTAATACAACGATAATGACTTCACCACGTCATTTTTAATCATTGCTACAGGCCCTAAATCTCTCTATGACAAAAAGAAACAAAGAACAGATTAGTACAGGAAATAAAGATTTCAACAAAGAAATAACTGATTTTGAATATATAAACATCAATAGATTGTTTCAAAATTATTATATATGCCATCACAGATACTGCAACATTGAAGACAGACATTCTCCATTCATATTTAACCTTTTCACCACCAGTTTCTCGCCCAAATTTTCTTTTTTCTAATATTCTTCAATATTTCTGGAAATGGACGCTAATTTTAGAGCCAATGGACAAAATTTGAGTCAATTTTCAGTTTTTACTCAAAAAAATTGGCTATTTTTGTCCCAATCTTTTGAAAGAAAGTGCAGACTATAACAGAACTATTTTGTGAAATTGTGATGAAAACAGGGAACTGGTGGTGAAAGGTAGAAATAAACTTACACTATTTTTATCAATGTTTGGAAATTTTCTGACGATATATTTGACACATGAATCTAGTTGCTTATCAGATAAAAACGATGGTTTAGACTTTGAATCTTGACAAGCCTGTAAAAAAATAAACAGTAACATCAGAAATGCAGAGAAAATTCAAGGCATCTATTATTCCTGTAGATACGATTCATCTCATCATATATGCGGCCTCATTTGTTTATATTTTCTGCAAATAAGCAGTGACTGGTTGGCAAGGACCAGTCATTCACAACAAAAAATAAAATACAACTGCTATTGTTCTTTAATATACATGAATGTAACAAAGTACATGTAACATTTGTAATTAACATTTGCATGCTGCTTGGCAAAATTGTAAACACACGATGTGACAGTGCAATGACCTACATGTATATCAGCTATTATACCAACTAGATGCTCGTAATACAATGATACATGGTGTATTCTAGTTAATGTTAAACCACCCATTCCATTCAAAACAAACAATTTTGATAAAATGCTAGTTCCAGGGCATAATACCATTTCGCCATGGATACCCAACATCTGGCACACTTAGTTGCAGTGTGATTTTATTTTCACTGCCACAACTTAACTAAGGACAAAGTAGTGAGACCATTTTATGTAGAGCATATATGACAACTATGGGAATACTTGCTATGAATGGCATAAGTATGCTGCATTAGTAGTTGATGCCTTGTTATAAACACAGTACCAATCTGGATATGCAAATTGGCCAGACGAATGTATTGCAGCATATTATGTGTACCAGTTTGACAACCTGACTTTCAGTTTGTAATTTGATTGACCATGTTCAAATTGGTTTACTATGTGATTAGCATATATCAACCAGTGTTTAAAAATTGTGTATCAAACACCAGCAGAGCTAACTACCAGAATGATACTGATATTATTTTTACCAGCCTGACTGAAAAGTTACTGATTTTGGGCATATGAGCATGCAGTAATTTCAAACACTAATATCAACATATGATGGCGGCAAATACAATCATGTACACCCATTTTTTTGAACACTTTTGTGAAATATTTTGGCAGATTACTTAATACAATAACATGACATACTATCCCAGGTTTTTTTCTAGAAAAAAACTGCAAGAGTGAGCACTGCAATTCAACGGCGCCACCAAGTGGGGGGCATAGGGTTCTTCCTACCAAAGTCCCTCTATTGCTGGTCTGAAAACAAAAGGCAATCTATTGTACCAATGCTCGTAATGGGTAAATAATTTGTTTACACCCTATTTTGGAAGTAATACAATCTGTAAGGTGCCCCAATCAAAAGGTTTATTTGGGAATTTTGTCAAGTTTGTAATCTATTTAATATTTAAATATAATTAAACCATCTTACCTATTCCGAAATGTTCTAACATTCTAACCACCAAACATATCTGTATGAGTTATGCCATTCATTTATAATTGGGACAAAAACTTGCACTAGTTTTATGTGAAGACTAAATTGTTTCTGTTACTATATTTAACTTTCTTCATTGAAGTATAATATGAATATTATTACAAATATTGGAAAACTGTGCCTAATAAACAATATGCAAGACAAAATTATTCTGCCAACAATTATCCCATGATTAAGACATCGCCGTTTTGAATTTATGGACACATTTAGTATCTTAAAATGAAGATGTTTTTTGAACGCATACTGATAACGCATTGAAAAAAAGTATCTCATAGTTCCACAGAGAGAAACATCACTCAGAATAACAATATATAGTGAAATAATTGAAACTTATTTGTTAAATATTAGAAGCCGCATCTCTAATAGAAGCCGCACACATTCTTTGTGAACAATTGAGACCCAAAAATTCACCACTTCTCATAATGTGTAGATGCTCTAATAGAAGCCGCATCCCCTCTGCTGTTCTAGATTCCAAGTTGTGTTGGGACGTACATTGATACAGTGTAACAATGTCAGTGCTAGTGATCTCTCATCAGTGCATAACTAGTCAGGTTTAGGATGTACCGGTAGTAGACTTTTTAATATACATTGAAAATCATTTTGTTTTTTCAGCAAGGAATTATGGGTAAAATATGACATCCTAACATTAAGGAAATGATTTCATCCATAACTAGGGAAATAATGATAAATTTCAAAGTGTGAATATTAATAGTGCATATAATTATACTGATGGAAATTCAAATGATGCAAAGACACAACAAGTAAAGATATTGCTGAAAGGATAAATCATTGAAAACAGAATAACACTTTTTTGTCCCCTTTTTGCAGTCAACAGGTTACATATAACCTGTATAATTGATACCTTTGTTGCCATGACAATCATTTTCTATGTATGGTTGGCACCAGTGTGATGTCATGTTCTAAACTTTTAAGCAATTTGAAATTCTACTTTAAAAGTTATAAGTGAATCATTTGCTCAGTTTTTCACAACAGGTTCTATGATATTATAGTTTACCCATAATTCTTTGCTGGAGAATCAAGATAGTGGAATACATATACTGATGGAAAGTTTAATATCTGAAGAATGAAAAGTGATATAAGAAAACTGTAAACTAACACTTTAAGCTTGGTAAGTTTATAGCAAACTTGTTGTGTTATACATATAATGGTAGGTTTTCATTGGCACTATGGGTGTGTGTATCCAATGCTGTCCTGCAACTTAGGTAACTATGTGAGTTTGGCAACTAAAATAATAATTATGCATGGGTGGCGACTAGAAGGCGTGCACAGCGAGGTTTGGTTTTACACTCTTTGTTACCCACCATTCGCTGATACCTTTTTTATTGCATTAAATAAAAGCATGATAAAAGATGCAAAGAATTTAAACCTCTAAAAAGAAAATCAGTCAGCAGCTTAATACATTTGATACTTATTTGAGGCTGAAATGCTGAGTGATGTTGATGATTAATACAACTAAAACTATTACTGTGAAAAGTAATGAAGTATCAGTATTACTATTTATATTTTCTATCATATGTATTAGTGTCAAGAAAACATGGCATTATTGACAGTGTTGCATTTAAGTATAAATACTGTGCTTTGTTTATACTGATTTTAAAACGAGGGAGTCGTCACCTGCGCATGCATCAGATGGCCATAGTGTGTCAATATTTACAAACAATCTTCTACCCATGAGCCTTTGCGTTTTTAGCGTGTGTTGTTATCGTCGCTTGGGAATCATTTCCCGTCTACCACATTATTTGAAGGAATTTATTGCATTGTTACACACTATCGTAAATACAGATGCCACAAAATATGATTGAGGAAATAGGATTTCTATTTGACCAGGCTTGGTTGACTGCCAAATAGTGCATTAAAATTATCTTCATTCCATTATGATAGGAAGATAATCATATCGTTCTTAAAGACAGATCTGTGTCACGAACCCCCCCCCCCCTCCCAAACAAATACTCGCACCAATCACAAACAAGATCACACAATATTTTCATATGTTAATATTAATAAGCTGGGAAGTTCAAATTACTAAATGAAGACTTCACAGGACGACGAAGCTTAAATATCCAAGAACCAAAACATACCAAAAATTATATCTCAAATGTAAATATTCGTGGTGTATTTCAAGTCTAACAGGACCGGAAGTGGGAATTTGTTAGTACTCTTAAATATCCAAACATATTTTAGTATAAGGTAGTAAATAAGATCATACAATATTTGTATATGTTAACCAACTTTCCACCATGCTAAGCTAAACATAAATTATATATTCTTATTATTTCCTGATTCGGTCTGTCTTACAGAAAAAGTCTTGTACTATCACACAAAAATGTTTTTGGTGACGAAATGAGAATAGTCTTAAAATAAATAATATAACTTTACTTCCTTGTTATTCAAAGCTACATTCTAGTAGTAGTATTAGTGACATTGCACGTAAACACAGTAAACACTAAATGTGTATTATTTACACATAAACTTAACGTGGATTACGCTTCATTACTACTAACGAAAATTACGATCCATTAAAACATACCGGTAGTTAAAAAACAAACCTGGTTACGTAAACCACGGACGTGTTAAAAATGTACCGTTATGATAATCGTAATACTACTTCCGGGATGAGGTCACACAACGTCAACAGAGTCCAGGGTGTGTGCGCTAGAATTCCTACCTTTTTTATGTTATAAATTCGTGTCAGCATACCACTTCCCCTGTCGTTTATAATCGTTAGCTTTTCAGCCAACTTAAGTTGCGATTGCATCATGGATCTCGACATTTTGAAAAGCAGTATATCGTGGATTTCTAAGAGAGTTTTCAAGTACTCCACTCGCCTCCGCTACACTTCGTCCATTTTTGCTCTGAAGCGGAAATGGTTACTGAGCATGCGCACGCTAACTTCGTACCTTGCCCTTTCTGGCAATTTGCAAAACTCAACTTGTACTCATGGTTGTTAATCTTCGTGCCCTCTCATCTCGTTTTTTCAGCAACCGTGCTCTCACGAACATCTGAAAATTGGTGATCTATTATTTAGAAGTTTTGTATAAAAGTAAAATAATCAAGAAACTTGAATCATTAATTTAAAGTAAAAACTAACACTGGATTAACAACTGATTTAAAACAAAGTTGCAATTTAAGTCCAAGTATGATATTTAACTTATACATTAACTACCTGCCAGATAGTTTTGATGTTGACAGTTATTATTCATTAAATAAATAAATATTAAATAATTAAAAAAAAATAGCAGTCTAATGTATACTGACGATATAGTCATTCATCAAAATCTGACTAGCAGGCCATGAACACCATAAAATGATGCTTAACGGTAAATACTGAAAAAACTAAAATCACAATTTTTAATAATTCAAGCAAATTTCTAAATAACAAGAACTCATTCAACCAATCATTGTCTATTGTTGCGTCATATGGAGTAAAGAAAGTTCAACTGATTCCTATATCAAAGATGTACATATTTCCAAAAAAAAAAAGATCTAAAATGGCTATTTACAGAGAATTGGGTAGACATCCAAACCATTGCTTCATTGAAAATGAATACATTAAATACATAAACAGAACAGCCAACTCAAGTAACATACGCCAACATGAAGTATTTCTTGGTTAACAAAAACCTGTAGAGCAAATGGTACATGAAACTGAATCCATTTTTAATTATGCAAATCACCAAGAACTAACATGACTCATACGATCCAATAACGTCAGCAAAATTAAAAAAAACATTGGTGAAAAACAAGAATAATGCATATTTGGAAAAATTAAATACACAACGACAATAGGAGAAAAGGTAATGGAAAAATAAACAAGCCATGCATGACACAATCCCCGTTAGTAATCAAATTTAAGATACCGGTATATAGTTTTATTTATAGTAATGTAGTTGGAACATAAACATGTTAGATATAGATCCAGAAGCTGATGCTTGATTATGATGATTTTTTAACATTAAAATGATTGACATCTTGTATCTGATCGTCAAACAAGTGTTCATATTGAGAAATATTGCTCTGGAACAGCATTAATTAAAAATAAAATGGCTACCAGTCAGCCATTTTGAATACATCTACATATCTATAACATGATGTAAAACGAATATATAAAATTTGAACATAATCAGTAAAAGCATATCAAAGATATGGCTCTAGAAGCACAGTCATTTAAACAAAATGGCTGACTGACTGATCTGAAAAATAAAATGGCATGCATCAGGAACCCCAAATCTCTAATGTATGTACCAAGTTTGAACAAAATCCATCCATAAACGCCAAGAACCAGTTCTGGAATGCCAGAAATGCTTGATTTTTGATGATTTCTTAGCACAAAAATGGTTGCCATTTGGAATCAGTAGTCAAACCAATATATCTATGTCATGATGTACAAGGAATATATAAAATTTGACATAATCAGTCAAAGCATGGAGAGATATAGCACTAGACTGCATTCATTAAAACAAATGCCTTCCAGTCGGCCATTTTAAATCATA